GCAACTTCGAAGAGTGTGAACCAATTTGACATATACCTCTTTTATGGCCTACCTTGTAAGTATGTGAACCTCTCTTGAACACCCCTTAGAGTGTGAGTGTTGCATTTGATTCCAAAACTTTAAATTGTGAACCATTATGTGAATTGAAATCTTTCTTTGTGTTGGGGCATTTGAACACTTTTGTTGAGCTTGAACTTGCATTTTAAGCAAGTATTGTGAGCATGAGATTCTTTGATAATGGTGAGTCACAACTTGAATCTTTGAGTACACAATTGATCTTTGCATGAGTAAAGTGAGTCTTGTTGTGTGCATTCATGATTGATTCTTGTGTAGCACTGTTTGAGACACCCATTTTGAACAGCTGAACTCGAGTTTCTTGAGGACAAGCAAAAGTTTAAGTTGGTGGTGTTGATGATTCCACAATTTGGACTCATTTAGAAAAATATTTTGATAGAATTACTGTCCTCAAATGCATATTTTGTCTCAATATCTAATGAAAATCCTTAAGTTTTAGGTATTTGGAGTTTGAGGCAAAGCATGGACACTATTTGGCAAGAAGGAACAAGGTGGCTGAAAAGAACGAAGAAATGAAGGCCTGAGATCACCGAGCCCAGTTGGCGAGTCGTCGATCGGCCTGGAGATCGCCTTTTGTTCTACTGTGCTGAGCCCTGAAGGAAAAGGTCAAGTTGGCGATGAAATGGAGCAGTCGACGTGTCGCCGAACAGTTCCGCGAAGCAGTATCATATCGCCCAACGACACAAAACTCTAAGAGGTTAAAGGTTAAAGCAGGAAGGCGGTGAAATCAACCAAACGGTAGATTGCCGAATGTATCGCCGCTCCCGACTAACTTCGCCGAAGGGTCCTTCGCAACACATTTTCAAACACTATAAATATTGTTTTAAATTTCTAGCTTAGTATCATATCATTATTATTCTTAGAACTTTTTACAATTTTTTAGATAGTTTAAGTTTTAGAGAGTTTTGAAGACTTTGTTCTAAGACCTTGAAGATTCAAAGGGTTTCAACTCCAAGAAATTGGACTTGGGTCTCGAAGATTCTTCACTATTGACGTGTTTTTAGACTTAATCCTTCATACCCAATTGATGGAAACTGATAATGGTATAAATTTTTATCTCTTTTACATGTCTAGCTAAAATCCCAATTTTTGGAGTGTAATTTTGTGAATATGAGTTAGATTATCTGCTGGGTCTTGCTTGTTGATGGATTATTTGTTGTTTAAATGTGATTTCGTTTAGTAGTTGTGTATTAACTTAATGGATTTGTAGTTGCAAATACGATTTCATATTAGTATTTTCGGCTTGCTCGAGAGAGCTAGTAAAATTAAGACTACTAAATTGATAGCCGGTGGTATTGGATCGACATGGGTTCAGCTCGAGAGAGTGAATCCTAGTCCTTCTCCCACACATTCAACTCGAGATAGTGAATAGGCTAAGGCGAAGGTTGTATTTAAAGCGGCAACTCGATGTTCGAGAGAAACCAAATCGATTCGGGGTAAGTTGCTCGAGAGAGAATTCACCCCCATAATAGTCTAGCCAACTCACAAATACTCAATAATTTACTATCAAAAGCATGTACTCGACAGTTTAGTTTATCACGTATTCCTATCACATCCCAAAAATCCCGTCTCGCTATCTAGTTTTCGTATATTTTCGCTGTTTGTAGTTGTTAATTAATACAAAAAACCCTCATTGATAATTGACAATTGCGTCACCCCCTTTAGATTTAATATGTTTATATTCAATAATGTCTATAGCTATAACTAGGGGTGTTCACGGGTTGGTTTGGATTGGTTATTGGTTAAAATCAAAACCAAACCAACTTAATCGGTTTTAAAATTATCAAAACCAAACCAAACCAAATATAATATATATTTATCGGTTTGGTTGTTATCGGTTTTGGTTCGGTTTGGTTCGGTTATTCAGTTATTAACCATACGTAAAAATATCTCATCATTTCTTGCAAAACAATATATAACCATACGGTCTCTACTCTCTACAATGTTAAACCAAAATAGGTCAGCCCAAAACTTTGATAATCTTTACAAATTGTTCTAAATATGCTAGAGAAAGTTGTATGCACCGAGTTACAAACAGTATGCTCATTCAAAGTTCCTGCCCCTTTTTTGCTTCAAGATCCTTTTATGGTTTTATTGCATTTGGAAGTATCCACATTAGTAACATTACTAGTTTCAACAAAAACAAAAAAAGTGTCCAGATTAGCAAAGTAAAGGCAGTATTTGCACATAGCAAATAAATTCAACATCAAGTTTAATAACAATTGTTGTCATATAAAGACGATCTACATCTCCTCTCCTTTAATTTCTTTTACTCAAAAGAAAGGAAACATTTATATTTTCTATCTTCCTTTTTCTTCAATTGAATCAACTTAATCAATTCTCAAAGGAGTACCTGGATTTTCTGAAAAAAGAATGATTATATTAGATATTAAAAATAAAAAACATAAAAGTATATAAACAAATTATAATTCAGTAATTAATTGTGTGAAGTACCTTTTTCAAGTATCTCAAGATTTTGAATTTCATCTAAAAGATCTTCAAATTTGTACTCTTTAAAAGTTGCCGTCCTTAACCATTGTTGACTACAAATAAGAGCTTCAGCTGTCTTTGGCGATAAAGAACTTCGATAACAATCAAGAATTCGACCACCTGTGCTAAACGCTGACTCTGATACAACTGTAGAAATAGGAATAGCAAGCACATCTCTCGCAATCTTGGAGACAATTGGATATCTCTCGGATGAAGCTTTCCACCAAGCCAAGATATTAAAATTCTTGCTCTTCTCCAAATCATCCAATAAATATTTATCGAGATCAGACTTAGTATTGACATTATTTTCATTTTCAACAAACTTTTCCCATTGTGATTGCACATCACAATCTTGCATTTCATTATTTTGACTCATCCCACTAGCTTGAAATTTAATATTTTCATCATGAGTCTCAACAACTGAATTTGCATAGTGAGTATACAAGAGAGATAAAGTATTATTCACTTTAGTAGATCTATCTACTCCCTCCACAGGCTTATAAAATATCTTAAAAAGAAACTCCACATACTTGAACTTATATCGAGGATCCAATACAATAGCAACAAATAATAACATATTCATATCATCAAAGTCTCCCTAATATTTAGTAAAAAAAATTTCCATATGCTTAGCCATATTACTCAACAAAGGATCACCAGATCTAGAATATTTGAGAATATAACTTTGAAGATTACAAATCTCATGAAAGAAATAGTTAGAAGTGACATGTAAAGTTCCCGAAAATTTCGAAGTGATCTGATAGAAAATTTCAAGAAACTTAATAAATACTCTTACATTCTGCCAGTTATCTACAGATGGGTGTTCTCTTGTTCCTTTCAAGTTTAGATAATACCTGAAGTACTTATGATCATCTTCATACATTCTTGCAAAGGCTTTTTCAAATTTTTGAGCTGTGTTTAGCATTAAATATGTCGAGTTCCACCTTGTCTCAACATCCAAACTCAAAAGGCCATGAGTGTCTAATTTGACTTTCTCAACATATGACCTAAAGGAATCAGTTCTTGAAGCAGAAGACTTGACATATTTCACAGCAAGCCTTACTCGAGAAATAGACTCGTTTTGTTCACTAAGACCTTCATTCACAATCAAATTTAGAATATGAGCATTACAACTAACATGTAAAAAATTATTTCCAATATAATACCTTTCCAATCATTAATTCTCGCTTTCAAGTGCGTGATTGCAGCACTATTAGCTGTTGCATTATCCAATGTCACTGTGAATAGATTCTCAATCCCCCAATCCAATAAACATGCCTCAATTCCTTTGGCTATCGTCTCACCTTTATGATCTGGAATATGAAAAAAATTTAGAATTTTCTTTTGCAAATTCCATTCCTCATTTATCCAGTGAGCAGTAATGACCATATAGGTCAAATTTTGAATTGATGTCCAAGTATCACTTGTAAGACACACACGCTGATCTTTAATAAGCCTTTTAAGCTTATTTTTCTCCTCTTGATAAATCTGCAAACATTGTCTAGCAACGGTGATGCGAGAAGGTAACTCATAATTAGGCAAAATGAGTGTCATTAATCTTTTAAACCCTTCCCCCTCTACAACTTTAAATGGTTGTTCATCAAGAATAACAAACTCAGCAATGGCCTTCTTAACCTCAACAACATTATAAACAATCTTTTCCAAAGTCCCTTGTCCCCCTTCTTTGATAGGTTTAAGCTTTAGGGTTGGCTGTGATATATCAATGATTCTGTAAGGGGATTTGGCACAATTACTGTTTATATGTGTCCATAGATTAGAAGTCCCATACTTACTAGGGCAAGAAAGTACTTTAGAGCAATAATTGCATTTTCCCTTTTGTTCACCTTTCTTATCAAGAAATTTTTCAAAGTGGTTCCAAATTTGTGATGTTTCCCTACCACTCCCTCCATGGCTAGGATCTTGACCAGAAACAGTAGTTCTTTTTTGTTTTTTAGGAGGATTGCACATAGTAGAACTTGTAGAAGTTTTAAGAGTGTTACCATGTGCTCGAACTATTGCTGGCGTGGGTGTAATTTCTTTTTCAGCCACCTTTGATCCTTCAACTTCCATTGTTTCAATCTGAAAAAAGAAATCAAAAATTTAAAGATTAAAATCAAGAAATTTGATTTACTAGTAGACAACCTATTAATAAAATTTAACAATGAATACTTTACCTATGACAAATGGTTGAAGAGATGTAGAAAATTAATTTGCAAGTTGCAATAGAAAACAAATCTCAAAGAGTTGATGAAAAGTGCCGCTGCACTTTTTCACCTCAAAAGAACGTGTTACAATAGTACTTCATTGAATTTGACCTAAAAATAAAAAAGCTACGATCCTTGTAGTTGTATTTAATTGAAGAGCAACTTTCACATATAGCAAACAAAAAAATCATATTTGTATGCTATATCAAAGTTTGTATAATTGCGCTCCATAGCAAACATATTATATTATATAATTTGTCGGTTTGGTTTGGTTATTTTTGTGATTTTTTTTTAACAAATCCATAACCAAACCAAATATTATCAGTTTTTAAAAATGTAAGACCAAACCAAACCAAAACCAAATGAAAATCGGTTTATTTAATCGGTTTGGTTTGGTTTTTCGGTTTGGATCGATTTTTACCCAAACCATGAACACCCCTAGCTATAACTAATTAGAACTAAATTTTATTTTTCTATTAATTCTCAAAATCACTCCCTTGAGACTCGACCCCAACCCTTGGTTGGGTTACTTTACTGTTGTACGATCGTAGACAATCGAATTGGAAGTTGAGTCTTCATTACGCAAACATCAAACGCACACTTATTAAAGTATTAAAATGAATACTTCAAATTACAAAAGATATGCACAGTTATTAAAATGTAATTATTACTTTTTTTCACTTTTTTTCCTTTGGCAGTTACACACACTTATCCCTATCCAACCACCCCCAATACAAATACCCCTCCCAAAACATTACTCCCTACCCCCACCCCCGCACATCCACTCCAACACACAACACGCACTTATTACAAAAGATATGCACACTAATTAAAAATGAATTTATTACTCTTTTGTTTCCATTTTTTTCCTTTGACAGTTACAGACACCTCTCCTACCCAACCATCCCAATAAAAATACCCCTCCCAAGACATTACTCCCTACCCCATCACCCCCGCACATCCCCCAACACACAACACACACGACATTGATCCCTATATAATGCTAGCACTAGCATGCACATAATTATCGCCATACAAATTTCTTCTCTTCCAAGTTTTTTCTTTTAGCATCTTTCTTCTAGCATTACAAGGTTTGTTTTGATCTTCTTGTTGTATTTCATAGCAATTGTTCTTCTTGTTGTATTTCATAGCAAAAAAAATTAAGTTTTGCTGTTTTTCTTCTAACATTGCAAGGTTTGTTTTGTTCTTCTGATTGTATTTCAAAGCAAAAATATTAAATTCTGTTGTTTTTCTTCTAGAATTACAAGGCTTGTTTTGTTCTTCTGATTGTATTTCATAACTAAAAAATTAAGTTATGTTATTTTTCTTCTAGCATTACAAGGTTTGTTTTGTTCTTCTAGTTGTATTTTATAGATAAAAAATTAAGTTTTGTTGTTTTTCTTTTAACATTACAAAGTTTGTTTTGTTCTTCTAGTTGTATTTCATAGCTAAAAACTTAAGTTCTGTTATTTTTCTTCTAACATTACGAGATTTATTTTGTTCTTCTGATTGTATTTCATAGGAAATTCTATTGTTTTTCTTCTAGTATTACAAGATTTATTTTGATCTTCTGGTTGTATTTCATAGCAAAAATATTAAGTTCTATTGTTTTTCTTCTAGCATTACAAGGTTTGTTTTATTCTTCTTCTACACTTATAGATCAATGGGAATGGAAAGGGGATGCAGACGCAGTCAATTACTACACATATTCTGTTTCTTATTTGATATGTATTGTTTCTGCAGATGGTTACATTTAGGAGCGTTAAAAGGGAATTGCATCAGTTACGTGTTGATGTTGATCATGTAGATTTGCTTAATCGAAAACTTGATGCAGCCAATGCCAACAAAGGGTTTATTATCGATCAGATTTGCAGATTTGATATGTACTACATTTCGTCTACAAAAGACATGGAAAAATTAGTGCTCTTCTCTCAAATCAGATCAGATTTGCATTGCATTATATCCCCAATAATTTCGCCCCCAATATTTCAAACTATTGTGGTAATGATGCATTTGAATGGGTTTGTTTTTCAGGATTATGATTTTAATATTTTCGAACCTTTTTTGGTTAGTCAATAGCAAAAAAAGAGTATAGCATTAGTTTCTTAATTTCATCTAAAATTGTATATATAAGACTCATCCTATCGGGGCTAACCTATATAGGCTTTAAAATTAAGGGGTCAGATCGGGCTAGCACATTTTTTGTGAGGGCTAAAAAATAATTGGCCTAACACACAAGTATGTGAGTTACAGATTTTGCCCGGTCAATCATCTTTTATTATGTGATCTCTTCCAATTATTCACCATGGCGATTATATGGTCAGGTCGTGCACAAAATTCATTTTGAGCAAAAATGAATCGCGACAAAATGGCGATTCGGCTAGAGATTATCCTAGATTTTTACCATTTCATATTTCCTTATTTTCTTGTTAAAACTATGTCTAATTGTTATTTGTTTTCCTTATTTATTTATTATTTGTTTTACTTTTATATTTGTTTTAATCTATGTTTAAACCACTTTTCTTCTTTCTTATTTTGTTTATTTACATGTTTAACCTTCTTACCTTATTCTTAATTAATTGATATTCAATTGAAGAAATTTTAAAAATCAAAATATCATAAAATTAACTTATTGCATACAACATATGATGATTGACTACACAAAAAAGTTTTTAAAATATTAAAATTCTAATCGTGAAAAATAAATTCATTCATGTTCATCATCGCCATAACAATATCAAATATTTTGAGCGACATTATTAGAACAATAATGCGATACAAATTTGACCTGATATGAGAGATGATAAAGTTCTTCATATCTTTTCTAGATAAAATGTAGTGGATATCACATCCACAAAATTGATTGATAATAATGCATTTATTAGCGTTGACTTCTGCAAAAATTTTATTTAGCAAATCGAGATGAGTGACAGCAAGACGTAACTAATGTAACTCTCGATTTATGTTTCTAAATGCGGCTATCTACAGAAACAAAAGATACTGAAGAAGAAACTAATATAAAAATATAAATGTCAAATAAGTTAAAAGAAGTCCTAATTTATTTTCTCCAACACCTTAAACAAAGAACTTATTAATCTAATATTAATGATAGGATGGTTGGGATAATAAGGAAATTGTAACTATTTTTATTAAGTAGAAATTGACCTTAATCTTTTGTAAAGCAGTGACTAGCAGTGAAGACCAAAGTCATTAAAGTAATGAGGAAAAAAAATCATAAAAATTAACTTTATCATCCTTACATTGATCTCTTCCAATTATTTATCCTTCTTGAAATTAGTCTAACCCAAAAAGGCTTAGCATTAATTTTTTAGTTTAATCATTAGAAAAAAAAGTTAAGCAATTTGAAGATTGATTTGATCAATGAAATAGAACACTATTTATAAATAAAATAAGTTTAATGAAAAATAACAAGAAGAAGAACTTAACATTAGTTTCTTAATTTTATCATAAAAAAAAAACTTAAAGATTGATTTCATCGCTGAAACAAGACACTAAATATAGATAAAAAGATTAATGTAAAAGAACAACAATAATAACTGAGCGTTAGTTTCTTAGTTTCATCATCATATAAAAAAGGTAATTTGAAGGCTGATTTCATCAATGAAACAAACATAAGATGTAGATGTCAATAAGACTGGGCACCGGATCGGGTTGTACCGGTACCAATCCCGTACCGTTTCGATACCATTCCGCTTCGGTAGTATTCGGGACGGAACGGGACACCGTGAGCCGGTACACGGGATGAAACTGTATTACGATTTGATACCGATGTACCGGTACCGGTTTATTCCAGTTCCGTTCCAACCCGGTCCGATTTCGATTAATTTTTATATATATATATATTCAATGGCTGAAAAGTCCTCCTAGGGGTCAGCAAAGGCTGAAAAGCCTGCTGCCCCTGCCCCCTGCCCCTGTTCCATCCCCAGTCCCCACTCTCCACTAACCAATGGCAAGCAGCCAACTGCCAAGCACTGTCCTAGCCCCCCATTCTCCAAACGGATTTATTTCCGAATTCCAACGAGCAACGACTATAATTCTATATTTTCCAATTCGAAGTTTTCAACACATAAATCATAATCACAAATTCAAAAAACTATATATACTCCCTCTCTTTATATTTTTAATTACAATTTATATATTTACAGTATTTAACAATTAAGAATCATCAATTTCTCTCAATTCTCAATCTTTCTCAAAGTTTCATACTTTCAATATTCAAGTTTCAAATTTCAATCATATTATTTTGTAATTGTGAAGATTTCAACAATCATTTGGTGAATTTTGGAGTATGAATCTTCTTCAAACTTCAAGTTTCGACATCAATTTTTCAATTTTCGATTATAATCGTTTGTTCTTTACACAAACGTTTTGTAACTTCGTTCCACTCTCTAATCTTATATTTATTTTTTGTATTTATTATTTGTAAGTTGTTCTTGTTATATTTTATTTGTTCTTGTTAAATTTTTATTTCATAATTTATAATTTTATATCATAGAGTCTTCTAAAAAAAGTAGAGGGAAGAAAGGTATTGTACACGGAGTAAAAAATATGCTTACAAAAAGTAAGAAGGGTTCTAGTTCTTCTAAATCTAATTTTTCTCTTGTTAGGAATACTGATGAATTTACTCATGTGAATGAAACTAGTTTTTCTCGTCCCGGTCCTATAGAAATTAATTCGGATACTCCTATAATTCCCGAAGAGGTTTATGAAAGACATTATGGTAATTATCAAGAAAATGAAGAAGTAGAAATTGATGAAGAAGATTTAGATGATACACCGACTAGTCCCGACCTCAATAGTACTGAAGTTTCACCTCAGGAGGACAATTCTTCGATTGGAACTAGTCGTCCCCCTATTGTTCCAACTAGAGGTAAGACCAAGGTACAACGTGTTTTAAAATCACATGTATGGAAATTTTGTTATTTAAATGAAGAAAAAACTTTTAGTATATGTAATATTTGTAAACAACATTTTTAAATATACATCTGGTGGGAGTGGAGGTTCAACGGGGGGAGTTAAAAAACAATTTAATTAATAAGCATAGTAAAGAGTGG